CAATGTAAATTAAAAGTATATAAATCACCATTAGATTTAGATTTATAGGACGCATGATACACGGTAGTATATTTTTATTTAGTTACCCATGAAAAGACAGTAGTGTTATTATTCTTCGTTGTTCTGATTCTACATGGAGAAATGTTCCAAAATCATAATTTATCAAAATGAAAAAATTTTTTCGTTGTGAAGTTGGAATAAATAACTTGGAATATTATGAGCAAAGTTGTTTCAATGCCTATTAAGCAGATGTTTATTTCAATAAAATTCATATTTTTCTGTGGTGTTCCGTGAATTACGTATGATTTAATGATTAACTATTATTAGTCGAATGGTAAGAATTTGGAGTCGGAAACGACCTCAGGAAAGATATTTGTGCAGTTGAATTCTGCATAAGCTTTCACGCCCAACGGTGATCCTTGCGGTTGTCCTGTGGCTTCAAGTCCGCCCAGCGCGGACATCCTGAGAAGAAGAAGACAGTTCAGGGTTGAGGAGGCAACCTGCCGACTGTTGTGCATGTTGCAGGATTAATAGTATAGGGGCAAGCAGCATCCGAAACGTTCATTTTTAACAGGATATCTATTCTATGGATGAGTTGAATAGCAAAATTATAGAGTGGCGTGAGCAAGGCCGATTTTTAATTGGAAATGAGACATGAGAATTAGAAATTTTGAATTATGAATTAAAATTTTTTGAAGCTACTACAACCAACGTAATAAATTTTACGCTTTATTTTCCAATGAGCAATAGTAAAAAATTTTCCTTCGTGTGTATAAATGAAAATTATTCAACTTCAACATAATGCAATATGATCAAGTTACTGAAGTTGTTTCTGCCGCGTTTCGAACGAAATAAAAAATATAACTCAGTACTTACTGCAGTGAGTGACAGAGAGCGCATTTTCTCGTCGACGAAAACGTGAAGTCACGGACGGACAGACAGACAGACGGACATGGCGAGCACAATAGTGCATTTTTTTCATAAATGAGAAAATGCGCTAAAAACCCTCAAAAAAATCAGGAAAATCCTCAAATCCGAACAGCCAGAAGGTGGTTTGTTCGGATTTGGGGACATTGGAGTCTACATATCTTCAAACGAGAACCGTGTCTCAATCTTGCGTTCGGTTCATATCCTCTTGAAATAGTGTATCGCTAGGCTTTTATGTTTGTTTTTAGGCTTGTGTTTTTTCTTAGATTTTATTCTTTTCGTATCTCCGATGACTCTGTGTTCCGCGAGTCCTGTTTTTTCGATTCAATATTTGATATTTTTTAGGTTTTATGTCTGTCCTAGAATTTTGACTTGTAATATGATTGTATTCATTTTTAGATTGTCAAACTGATGAAGGAGCAGGACTCCGAAACGTTTTCAATATCGATATAGTGAATTGGCTTGGCGTTTTCTTTGCTTTAAATTCCTTGTGAACTTGCGATATGAGCAGACTGAATATATAAGTACTTATAATAAGACTCAAATTAACATTATCACGTTTCACAATGAACAATTCCCACATAGTCAACAATAAGTAAGTATCCCTTAAAATACTTGATTTCGAGAAGAAAATTTATAAATTTTCGGGACTAACAACGCGATTTTATTTATCGAGTTGCCTCTATTATTTTGGCCGATATATTTGAAAGAATTGACGTAAATACACTATCTCATTTCAATCCAATTTTTTTACTTAATATATGATATATAACTATGAGGTATATTCTGCTGCGGCACAGGTTTTATTGTTTGTGCTAATTTGAGAAAACTTTATCCCTACACAGTTTATTGACTTTATTCATTGCATGGCGTCGCGTCGCCGTCAGAAGTAACTTTTAAAATAACAACTAAAGTTATTGAAATGACCATCCTAAGCACGAACATTTACTATCGAGAAAATGACACATGAGTTAACTGAAAATAAATTGAGATGATCTATACTTCCCTTGATCCTCGTCCCAAGTATTTTTAGTTAGTTACCTATAAAAAATTGTAAAGAGAAACTTTCATCATTTTACTTCATTTTCGGCAAAATATTGCAATTATCATAATCTATTTCAACGCAATATATTTTTATAAAAACTATTTGATCATTTATTTTCATTATTTCTACGTAACTTCATGTTGATCTCTTTTACGCTCGCGTTTAGGCTGAAAAAGTTGACATTTCTTGCCGGTCTGATCTAAGTTTTATGTACATTTGATGAACGCGGTTCAATTTTCCAAAAGCTCAATAATTTTGAAAGTCGCCAACGGCTACAACAATAGAGAGGGCAGAGTGACCTCAAGAAGTGAATGCGACATCAGATTCTGTTAAGTAAGTATAAGCACCCCAGTATGACCTTGTTAAGAATAAGCACCCCAGTATGACCTTGTTAAGAATAAGCACCCCAGTTTGTATATTATGTACAGAACGATGGGCTCCTGCCTGGTGGTTGGCAGAGGCACGATAACGAAGCGTTTCCATGTATGGTAACGTCTAAGAGTTGCCATACATAGTAACGCTTAAGAGTTACCTTATATGGCAACTCTTCGAGGTTTATACATCATAAATGGCATATTTTGTTAAGTTTATTTTCACAGTTTATCAAAATTCAGTGTTTGTGTTCATCGAACATAACTTTATTTTACTTCTAAATTCTACCCACTGCTGTCGTCACGTCGGAACATCAGCTTATCCGTAACTTTTAAATGGGAATTTAAGTTATTCAAATTACCATAATAATCTTGAGCAGTTACAATCAAGAAATAGATTTGGATTTAAGTGCAAATATATGAAGATGCTTTATATCGCACATGATACACGGTGAGATATTTTTATTTAGTTATCCATGGAAAATATTGATGTGTTATATTCGTTATTAAAGTTGGATGAAGGTGAGTATTTCAGAAATCTGAATTCGTTGAAACGGTAAAATTTGTTTGTATTAAAGTAGTGTAATTAATTATCAATATTATGAGGTAAATCGTTTCTATGTCTATTAAGTGGACGTTTATGTAGAAATGATTTATATTTTTTGACGGCCTTGTGCGATGTGTGCGAAATTTCGCACTTCTCGCTGTCTCTTCGCTCGTTGTATGCGATATATTTTTGGGTCGGCACCGACCATGGCAGGGCATAAGTACAGTTGGGTTGTGGAGGCGAGCCGCTGCCTATTGTGCATGGTGCTAGATTCTCAATTGGGGTAAGCAGCATCCGAGACGTTCATTTTCAACAGAATATTTATTCTATGAATAAGTTGAATAGCAAAATTATAGAGTGGCATAAACAAAGCCGATTTTTAATGATAAATGAACCTGTAAAATTAGATTTTTTATGAATGAATAAAAATTTTTGAAGCTGGTACAACAATTACTCTTTGCTTAATTTGCGGAATTCGTTAATCCGCGCTATTTTATTGATCATTCGTTCGCCATGTCAGCCACTTGAGCGTCTTCGGTCGTCCGCCCGCAACTACATTTTGATATCAATTTTGTTCATGATTTAAGGCAAAATGTATAGAGAAGATTGTTATCTATCATCATACATGTTGAATATTTTAACTTAGTTATCCATCGTAAATATAATTGCGCTATTTCCATTACTTTGATTGTATAAGGAGAAGTATTCTTAAAAACATAATTTTTTGAACCGGTAAAATTTGTTCGTAGTGAAGATAAGGTAATTAATTATGAATATTATGGGTTATATCGTTTTGCTATCCATTGAACCGATGTTTATCTCAACATAACTCATATTTTTTGATGGTGTTGCGTGAAGATGTGACATGCTTAGTTACATTGTTCAGCGCGCGATAGTCACGCACGATAAATCTATTTTGGAGTCGGCAACGACCGTGGTAAAGGCATATGTGGAATTATGGATTGAGGAGGTGACATGTGGACTATTGGGAATGTTGCAAGATTAAAAGTTGGATTATGCAGCGTTCGAGACGTTCATTATTAATAGAATATCTGTTCTATGAATAAGTTGAGTAGCAAAGTTACAGAGTGGCGTAAACAAGGTCGATTTTTATCACAAATGAGCCTTGAGAATTGACATTTTCGAAAAATAGATTAGAGTTTATAAGCTGGTACAACCTAAATTTATTTAAGAACTACATTCGTGGCCCTAGGCTGTGCTTACGGTAGAGAGAATATCATCGCAAATACGTATTGATATCAATTTTGTTCACGATATAAATTGTATACACAATATCAGACTGATAATAATTTAGTTCGTATTCAAGTTTTACGTAACTGCTTCACTCACATTAAAATTTAGCCTGAAAATGTTCAATTCGTCCCCGACTCCCAGCAGCGAATGTCGTTTTTGACGAATGAAATTAAAACAAATATTTACTGGAAGATATTTATTTATTGAATGATATTTATACATTCAGAGGCGAGGAAGTTGACTTGAAATGTTTGGATTGCACGTGTCGGGCAAGATTTCGTTTTTCGACGCAAGTATAAGAGCACTGCGAGCAGCTGAAAGGTTTTTCAGACGAATGCTTGGATAGAACATGCTTTTCTAGATTAGTTTTAGTGACGCACGAATATTCACATTCCGGGCAGCTAAAAGGTCTCTCAGATGAATGCTTGTACAGAACATGCCTTCGCAGATCACTTCTAATGACACAAGAATATTCACTTTCAGAGCATCTAAATGGTTTCTCGGATGAATGAATGGCCAGTACATGCCTATTCAGATTGCCTTTCTTGGCACATGAATATTCACATGCCGAGCATCTAAAAGGTCTCTCAGTTGAGTGCTTGGATAGTACATGTCTTTTCAGACCGCTTTCAATGACACGATAATATTTACATTCCAAGCATCTAAATGGCTTGTCCGTTGTGTGCCGAGAAAGAATATGACATCTGAGGTTTCCTTTGCTGGAGTTAATATATTCACAGTCAAAAAATTGATATGAAAATTTGTCTTTATGATCTGCACGAACGTGTTGCTGAAGTTGCTGCTCTGAACTGCAGCCAAATGCACAGTGCAAGCATGAGTGTGGCTTTGCGGTTGCCTGCTCATCTGCACGGCGCTGCTGCGGTTGGCCTGCAGCTTCGGCCTCAACAAATCCACCCTGGGAACCCGCAAGCCTGTTGGTGCGGTGCTGGGAGTTTTTAGTGACGCACGAATATTCACATTCCGTGCAGCTAAAAGGTTTGTCAGATGAATGCTTGTATAGAACATGGCTTTGTAGATCACTTTTAGTGACGCACGAATATTCACATTCCGTGCAGCTAAAAGGTTTTTCAGACGAATGCTTGGATAGAACGTGTCTATTCAGATTACTCTTACTGACAGAAGAATATTCACATTCCGTGCAGCTAAAAGGTTTTTCAGACGAATGCTTGGATAGAACATGCTTTCCTAGAACCGTTTTAGTGACGCACGAATATTCACATTCCGTGCAGCTAAAAGGTTTGTTAGTTGAATGCTTGTATAGAACATGCCTTCGCAGATCACTCTTTTTGACACATGAATATTGACATTCCGAGCATCTGAGAGGCTTCACAGATGAATGCGTTCCCAATATATGAAACTTTAAATCGCTTTTAAAAACACAAGAATATTCACATTCTGAGCACCTCAAAGGCGTCTGAGATGAATGCTTGCGTAGTAAATGCGCTCTTAAGTTGCTTCTATAGACACAAGAATAATCACATTTAGAGCACCTAAGAGGTTTCTGCGATGAATGTCTGTAAAGTACATGGCATTTTAGATAATATTTCCTGGAGCAAGTATATTCACATTTAGAGCATCTAAAAGGTTTATGAGATAAAAGCTTGCGCGGTTTATGTGATTTCAAATCGTGTTTAATGGCACATGAATATTCACGTTCCGCGCAACTTGGAGGCTTTACAGACGAATGCTTCGATGGAATATTGCATTCGTGGTTTTGTTTACTGGAACAACTATGTACATATTTAGAGCATCGGTCTGACAATTCTTTGGAATATTCCGCATGCAAATGTCGTTGAAGTTGCTGCTCTGAACTGCAGCCAAATGCACAGTCCGAGCATGAGTGTGGCTTTGCGGTCGCCTGCTCATCTGGGAGGCGCTGCTGCGGTTGGGCTGCAGCTTCGGCCTCAACAAATCCACCCTGGGAACCCGCAAGCCTGTTGGTGCGGTGCTGGGAGCAGGACGCTGCAGAGACGCAGGCCTGTTGGCGCGGTGCTGGGAGCAGGACGCTGCAGAGACGCAGGCCTGTTGGTGCGGTGCTGGGAGCAGGACGCTGCAGAGACGCAAGCCTGTTGGTGCGGTGCTGGGAGCAGCATGCTGCAGAGACGCAAGCCTGTTGGTGCGGTGCTGGGAGCAGGACGCTGCAGAGACGCAGGCCTGTTGGTGCGGTGCTGGGAGCAGGACGCTGCAGAGACGCCGCCGCCGCCAGCAGCGTCGTCAGGGGCGCCCTCGGGTGCGGGCTGCCCTCTTCCCACGCACTGACGACACAGTGACGTCATTTAAACAATAATTGTCAGGGAGAAAACATTAGCAAGTGAATCATATATACTTCGAAGAAACGTTCAATTTGTACAGGAATGAGCAACAGAACGCACTGCAAACGCATGGTGATCTATTTGGAATTATTTAATGTATACTATTTCAGGAAATTTTAATCAATGCAACAACTGACATGTGTTATACATTTTTGTTTTGAGTGAAATAAGACGTACGAAGGACAGGAAAAAGTGCAAATTTGCGTTTGATGGGAAGGATAAAAGAGGATGGAATAAGTGAACACACGTCCAGTCCTGACGCACAATGGCTTGAAGTTACATTGGGGCTTGAAAGATTGCAAAAATCAAAAAGGAATCATCAGCATCAGACCATCCTCAGACTCAGCAAACATTACGGGAGGAAACATTGCATATTTGAAAGTCAACGTACTGATATGCCAATAGCAAACAATGAGTAACTGGCCACATACACATTTGTGTAGAGGCTGAAAGAAAATGTGTCCATTGTACTAAGCATAAGAAGAAAATGTATCCATTGCACTTAAAGCCCCAAGGGAGGCTCCAATCAAAAAAAAAAATTTTGAAGAATTCAGGCATGGGCTCTTTTTTCCACTGAAGTTTCACAAGACATATAATGCTGTTTTATAAAAAAATGATCAACCTTCAAGAGATTATTTAACCGGTAAAATGAAGCTTGAAATACCGCGCACATACGTGACTTATAATAGATAAGGGATAATGCATTCATCCTTTGGAATTAAACGTACAAGGGATTCTCACGAGTGCATCACTGATCACTTGCACTCAGGTTTTCATTCGATTATTAAGTCAAGCTTAGTACAGATTCTCACGCTCCATAAGAGCAAATTACACATTAAAAGAGGTCAAATGTCATAGGACGATCATACGAAGGCCGTGTTATCTTCCTTATCATATTATCATATAATATCGTTATCATGAAAGTGCATGGAATGTCACATCAATAATCACCTCCATCTCTAAGCAAGCATCATCGCCTGTCATCATCAAATGTAATAAATAATGAGCTGGTATCTCACTCGATTATACAGATAACAAGATAGGCAAACCCGCAACTTATGTGACTAACAACTGAATCTGATCGGCCCATCTAAATACGATTGAAAGCAAGATGCCATAATCACCTACTTTACCAGTCAAGTATGGCAGGATGCTCAATATTAGACAAGTTTGTGTACATTTTTGGAAAGCTCAGCCTTGTTTAATTTTTCTACATAATTGCCGTTGCGTTCTATGCACTTCTGCATTCGAGGCACCCAGTTATCAAACCAGAGTCAGAACTCTGCCGCCCGTCCGCATAGAAAACTAACAACCACGTTTTGCATCTCTTATTTCTGGTACCCATCTTGCGCAGACCTTAGAATGGCCTAAATGTCCAGTCAAAATTTTGTAAATTGTAGTTTTGCTGACCTCAGGAATTTTTTTACACAGCTCTCGAACTGTAATCCGCCGATCTTAAAGCATTGCCGCTTCAACTTTGGCAATTGTTTCGTCAGAAACCGATGGCCGCCCTGCACGGGCGTCGTCGTGGACGTCAGTTCGGCCATTTTTAAAGTCCCTGACCCATCTGCGCACCATTCCGGAGCTCATACACTCTTCTCCATACACTTGACAAAGTTCTTCGTGAATTTCCTTTGCTGAAATCTTCTTAGCGGCCAGGAAACGAATAACAGCGCGCAACTCGCAGCGGGCGGGAGACGCAAGAGGAAGCTCCATCGCTGACGCCTGCTGAGGCATGTATAAACGTCCCAGGGACGCTGGCTTGGTAAGGGCTTGGAGTGGGGCAATCAAACAACCTGCCTGGATAATAAACAACCTGGATAATAATGTAACACATTAATTCATTCAAGAAGTTGAACAATTTCAATAATTATATTGAAGTGGACTGCTCTATATTAAGTTATATAGCAATTCCAAATAAAAATCATCAGCTTCAAACTTTATTTGCAGGATAATATCCCAAAAATTTGAGGAATAAAATATTAAAGCTACCTATAGGAGCTTCTTTGCCCAAGCTGAAAACCAATTCCCAGGGTACAAATATTGATATGTGAATTTTATGCTCGACATTTTATTAATGCAAATGATTTCTTCTTAGCGGCCAGGAAACGAATAACAGCGCGCAACTCGCAGCGGGCGGGAGACGCAAGAGGAAGCTCCATCGCTGACGCCTGCTGAGGCATGTATAAACGTCCCAGGGACGCTGGCTTGGTAAGGGCTTGGAGTGGGGCAATCAAACAACCTGCCTGGATAATAAACAACCTGGATAATAATGTAACACATTAATTCATTCAAGAAGTTGAACAATTTCAATAATTATATTGAAGTGGACTGCTCTACATTAAGTTATATAGCAATTCCAAATAAAAATCATCAGCTTCAAACTTTATTTGCAGGATAATAGCCCAAAAATTTGAGGAATAAAATATTAAAGCTACCTATAGGAGCTTCTTTGCCCAAGCTGAAAACCAATTCCCAGGGTACAAATATTGATATGTGAATTTTATGCTCGACATTTTATTAATGCAAATGATGAATTTACCTCTTTTTCACTACTGTCAATTGGTTCCTCCTTCACAGCTATGTCCTCTCCTCCATCTTGAGGCTCCTCCTTGATGTAAACTGCCACCGTTTCCTGGGGAGATGAGCACCTGGCCTCTGTAGCTGAATAAATTGACATAGAACATCATGAATAAACTTGAACATGAGACATCAACATAGATGACAAACAATGTGTCACTGCTTCCACAAAATTTGGAGCAATATCTCAAAGTTACAAACTAGGTAACTGTATTTAACTCTTAACAAGAATGTTTCTTGCAATTTTATACAATTGTGAGCAATTTATACATCCCTTAAGACTGCAGCTCACCATTAGGCTCCACTTTGCAAGATTCCAAAGACATTTGGGTGCTCAGCTCAGCGTGCCAGCTGCTGTTGACTGCATCATCGGAGACATTGTGCATCACAACACTGCTCGCCTTCATTTTATTCATCATGATACTCATTAAAATTTGCAGGTTCCAAGTAAAACTAAGCTTATTTGCGATCCAAAATTGTTTAATAGTAAAACGTCCCGGTAGCGATTGAAAGCAACTTGATTTTCAGTGCCATTCTGTGAAGACATTTGTGGGTGTTAGAGAAAGAACAAGTTTGTATGTAGTACACTGTTACGATTAGCAGTTCAAGAGTCATGTGTAGCAAACATTGAGCACAGAATTGAGTGCAGGTGGCAGCTCCATCATAGATTGCTAAAGTATTTGGTACTTTCAATATAGATAATGTTGAAAATTTGGGATCTAAGGAAATAGTAAAAACTTCAGGAGCATATAACACTTCATCGGCTTTACTCAGTCCCTGAAAAATGTAGTTAATATGGTTATACAAATAAATCTTACTGTCAAGACCTTAGCGCCAATGCCCACCCACATCATGCAAAACTATTGTATGCCTGAGCTAAAATGCTGTACTCATCTGAACTAAATCTCTATACCTACTTCAAGTCAGTACTCATTACCTGCAACATCAAATGGTCTATGATTCTACAATCATAGTACAAAATACAATACAATACAATACAAAATACATACAATACAAAATAAAGAAAAAGAACAAATAAAAATCAATAATTCCCAGGGTTCAATGTTAGAGGCCAGCATTGCCCAATACCATCATCCCTTCCTTATTCTTTATGTACGCAAGCATGCTGCTTAGTAGATTAGCTTACAAACTTAAGTACTTAGAGCCAGGCTGGAGTTCTTGGATACTATATTAAGCTTGTCTTTTTTAGGCAAATGCATGTCCATCTCCAGACGGTGATTAGCTGTGATGTCATCCGCTCCAGACTGTGATTGGTTGTGTCGAATTTGCCATGTGTACTGGTAAATTTAATACTCCTCTAGAATTTCAGCCTGCTTAAAGCCATAGGCGCCATAAGTCATCAGCCACTGCAACAGCCCACACATCAACATGTTCCCATCTCCACATCTACCCCAGAACCTGCTCTCAGCACCTACTTCCTACCTCACCTTCCTACCGCCCTACTTTCCAAGCCATTGCTAGAGTTTTTGGCCTGTTTTAGAGAAATGGTGTTCTAGCCAGATGAACTACATATCTCCTATATTGAGTAGATGAACTATCTCCTTGTGTGAACTTAATAGTTCACAAAAGTGCAGGATCTAGCCATTTGAGCTTTTTATTTCATTTTTATGTATAAATTTTCTAGTTTTGCTGTACACAAGAAATGTTTTAGACACTGATGCGCAATCACATGAACCTGTATACTGGCAGTATCGTACCTGACTACTTAGTACTTGGAATCATGATTTTTCTACTATTTTTGGTGTTGTGAGATTTCTCCTATTTAATTCTTAACAAAAGGGCAGGATTGAGCAATGAGGCAATAAAATTTTCAAAAAGATAACACTTAGAAGCCACAAGTCTTCAGTATTACAACAGAAATTTTAAATCTTGCTACATATTAAAAATGGTTGAAAATTTATGCACAATCACATGCAAATGCATAACTGCATGAGGTGACTATGCACTTTTTGTATTAGGGACAGGTTCTTTGCCTTCTACTAAAGACAGCAGTGTGGATTCTAGAATGGTGCATAAAGATTCTGACATTTTTGGGTGGATGCATGTCCATCAACAGACTGATTGATTGCACTGTCATCCTCACCAGACTGTGATTGGTTGCAGGATTGTGATGTCATCCACTCCTGACTGTGATTGGTTATGTGATGGCTTTTTCAAATGCTATGTGTACTGGTTAGTTTAATGCCTCTCTAGAATTCCACACTGCTCGACAGCAGCAGCTGCATAATGATGCCAGCACATCAACTCACTGAGCTGCAAAGCACATAAAAGTTTTAATGATTGTACTTTTCATACATATCTTTAATGCCTGTTGCTGCCAACCTAGCATGAGATGTGTCTACTTTGCATTCCATTACTATGATGACTAGAACTTTCCTGCTATTTTTGGAGTCATAAAATTCCTACAAGATGAATTACCTTAATAATTTTTTTATTTTTACAGAAGTGGTGCAATCAATTTGCAAAATTTCAAAATAATTTAAAACAAGTCACCTCAGAGCTGCAAGATTTTAGTGATGGTATAAATTGTCCAATCTTGCTGCCAACAGGGCACAGCTTTGACTATTGAGCCTTCAGCTGTGCAATGATTGCATCCTCTAAATTCTAAAGTTTATCACTGTAAGCCTATAATTTGTATGCAGTATGCTGGCTGCCTAGCGCCTATCTACTAGCTATGATCCAGGCTGAAATTCTAGGATAATGCTTAGAGCTTCTGTCAGTTTTGAGCAGATGCACGTTTCCCTCCTAACTGTGATTGGTTGCAATGTCATCCACTCCAGACTGTGATTCGTTGGTGGGATTGTGAATCACAATCCAGATTTTTTTAGAATCAATTCATTTTTAATTTTTTTATTTACTCAAGATTTATACAAATTTCTTATATATGATTATGCGGGTATCCATGATTCTTTCTTGGTCTACTTATAGGACTCAAAAATGAACTTGAGGAAGAGTCTAAAAAAAAGTCTTTGCTTTGACACTCTGCACCAACCAGGCATGGAATATATCTACTTGGCAAGCTGCTACTGAATTTTTCAAGCCGTAGTTTTATAGATTTTCCTGCCGTCATTCCATTTCTTTGAGCTATGACTTCCATATCTTGACAATGAAAAGCCATTTACAAGGCATGTTTATGCAGTCTGACATGACTACAACTATGCGCAATCTTTAACAAAACATTTAGTTTGACTTGTTTACATTAGAATGATAACATTCTGCAGGATATTTTGGCAAGAATGTTAAAGTAATGCAGATTGCAGATGTGGAAAATTTTATGAAATGACATGTTTGCAAAGTGAAAACTGCAATTTTTCAATCAAACAAAAATTTATGACATTCAAGCTGCAAGATTTCATACCTACTGAAATTATATGATGCTAAGGCTGTGATATTTCAGAAAAAATTAGACTTTTCTAGCCCTGGCACCAACCAATGTGGGATTGTGAGGACGACCTTGCAATCCTACAATCAATCACAGTCTGGAGTGTGCTGTGTGGGCTGTGTGTCTGGCATATGTTATGTGTGTGTCAATCTCTGTTTTAGCCAATGGAGAGTCAAAAAATGAAAAAAAAATTCTTAATCAAAGCAAAAATCCTACTTTCCTATTGCTATTGTGTACCTAAATATAAATTATATTAAAGGAAAAACTTCAAAATAACATAAACCCATGATTTACTCTAAAGAGTTCTCACAAATTTTTACATGCGATACGAGTATTAAAATTACTAGATTGCTTATATTGCAAGTTTATCAGGAATTTAAACGCAAAGAAAACAGCCAGATTAACCATTTCTTAACACTTTGACTCCAATTGCTTCATCTTGTACTATTATTTCATTTTTTGTACTGTTTTTAAACAGGGTTGCCAGGCAGTCATTTTTTCCAGACAAATTCCGTGATTTAGTTTTTCTCAATTGCATAGGCCAGCTAAAATTTATGATAGGGGTACTTCCTAATTAAATTCAAAATACTGCTAAAAGAAAATAAATGGAATTTTTATAGCAGAACCTACAAATAAACCAGAATATATTGAGTTATCAGCCTATTTTGGCCTTTTTTGTTCTTGGATTTGGCCGATTTTAGGCAACCTGAATTATGTACCACTAGGTACGACCGTACGTCCTGGAGAAATACATTTTGTGGTACACATATGTACCACTGCGGAGTCAATGTGTTAAGAATGAACCCGTTTTAGAGTCCAGCTCCATTGTCAGTTCAAAAGTTCAAAACCTATAAGAAAAGCAGATCAATTAGAAAACTAAATTCACAATGAAGATGAAAACATAAATTAACAAAATAAAAACAAATACACATAAGGTCATTAAGGTGTGTATTAGAGAAAACGCGGTATATTCCGACATCGTAGGTAATTCCGACACCTCTCTAGTTTTTCCTTTATATTAAGCTTTGTTTTATTTCCAGGCATTCGTCGATGGTTGAAATAGTGACGTCATACGTTTGCGCGCAAAACTACTGCCAAAACACTACGTCTGGGCCGTCTGGCGGGAAAATGTTGAGATCCAAAGAGAGACAGGGAACGCCACGCAGTGAGATCATCGAAAAATGTGTCAAAGTTGACACTTGACCTTGCTCTACCAAATAGTGATAAACTGTTTGTGTAGAAAGAATATTATGGTTTGAGACTTTTAAATACATCTGTGAATATATTAGGAATCCTTTAAGTATACTTGTATTTGCTGATTTCAAGTCGTAATAAATTAATAGATGATTAAAGTTAAGAAATGGATTTAGACACATGAAAACTAATTCCGTCACAACTTTAATTGGACACACACAGATCGTTCCAAGCTGTGTACAAAAATTAAAATTTGCTTAATTAAAAGCCTAATAGCTGTTAATTAAAACATAATTAAGTAGTGTTCAATATTCGTTAGTGTTCTAATTCAAAGCCGTGTTGTATCCCATTACAGCTCACACAGCGAACGGAATTTGAACACGTGGATGTCGGCATTACGTATCAGTTAAATTTGAAGCGCCGTCGGAATACGTCTCACCACGTGTCACATATTGCCACACACAGTGACGGAATATAGGGATTTGCCGATTTGGTAGGTTTCCATTCTAAAGGCTTTTTAATAAATATGGCAACATTTTGTGACGTTTCATCGTTGCTGACGCATAGTGCTGTGTTTTGAGAGTCACGTGAAGCCAACAGAACTTACGTACGCATACGGTTTTTTTTTTATAGTTTTTCATTTCTCGATGCATCCCTAATGTGTCGGAATATACCGTGTTTACCCTACCTTATCACCTTATGTATATTTGTTTTTATTTTGTCAATTTACGTTTTTATCTTTGATGTGAATTTAGTTTTCTAAGTGATCTGCTTTTCTTATAGGTTTTGAACTTTTGAACTGACGAACAATAATAAAAGTGATGATGGAGCTGCCGAGCTGGACTCCAAAACGTTTTCATTCTTAAGAAATGGTCAATATTCTGGCCGTTTTCTTTGTTTTTAAATTCTTATTACTGTTAATGTTACATACACATCTGTTTCCGGTGCAACCGCAGTCCGCAGGCCGCAGCTGCGACGGAATCCCCTTGAAAGGCTTAATACATTATACAACTTATAACAAAATATATAAAACGTCCTACCACTACCTTGTCCGGTCAAACAATCTAACCTCGCTTCTTCGCGCCAGGCTCACGACTAATCAGCCAGTGAGAAGGGCCTTCTGGCCAATGGCTGAACCGCTGAAGGAAGGTGGTCAGTATGTGGCTTGCTGTTGCTGGGTCACAGTGTCACACTTGAAAACTGGAGACGCTGAAGCCTGAAGTGCATAACACGTAGCGAACAATGGATCAGTCGAATGCGGCGGAGAAACGGTTGATTCCGCAATTCCGGGAGCTGACCCAAAATAGAAACCATCTGTATTATTACTGGTATTAGAAGACTGCAACCTTTCATATTGTATTGCATCTAGAAACTTAAACCATAGCATTTGA